CCATGAGGGGAAGCAGCCACACTTCCCAGGGGGATTTCTTTAAAATTCCCCATTCCCCACCTGCAGGGCAAACCTGAGCAACAGGCAAAAAAACCAAGGGAGATGGGAAAAAATCCACAGGAGATGGAAGTGCTGGGAAGGTGAGAAGTGGGAATGTTGTGTTTTCCTCAGCTTCCAGGTTCAAATACCAGAATTCCAGAAGCATCTTCTTGAGTATTGAAGACCAGTGGCTCGGAGTCAACGGAACCGCTTTCTCTTCCATGGAAAAAAAGCCTCTGGAAGGGGTTAGTGCCGCCAGCAGGGAATTTCCCAGCTCTACCCATCCCCACAGAGAGGTTTGGATCACCAGGAGCAGGGAATTCATCAGCAGGTGTGAGCAGCCAAGGCATTGATCACACACACACCCATCGCTCGGAGGCTCTTCCCAAACCAGCAAGGGTGGAAACATCGGGCACATTCCAAGCCCAGGAAAAGGAGGGAGGTTTCTTTACCTAAAACTTACATCACCTCCCAGCACAGGGGTTGGTAAAGGTTCCCAAAGCAATCAGGGGAAAAAGCCACTGAGGAATGTTCAATGTAGGGCATGGGGTCGGCTGCGGGAGGTACGTGATCCGGGGATGTTTGGAGCTCGGAGAAGACACGTGGGAATTCCACTTTTCCCCAGTTACCTGCCGGCTTTGGGCACGCAGCCCCAGGTCTGGCTGCCAAAGGAGTGTTGCCATGAACCTACCCCTTAGCCCATCCCTTTGGAAAAATGAATTCCAAGCTCCCATCGGTGCTGCCCATCTCTGCCCTTGCCTGGGGCTGCCTGCTCTTCCCTGCCCGCGTGTTCCAGTGGGAAAAGTGCTCCCTAGACCTCACTCCAGCTTCTCCCTGGCTTGTGGCGAGGCAAGGCAGGAGGAAGAGGATGATCTACCTCCTTTCCACGGCAGCTCCTCCATTAAACAGGGCTGTAAGTCCTGGAAGCATCCAAAACCTGCCAGGTTTTAGGGAAAACCCCAAGCCAAGCCCTCGGATGTGAAAACCAGGGGAAAAATGGGACAGAGCCAAAGGATTATGGCTTGTTTTCCATGCTGGAACCCCAGCTGGGAGCGCAGACTGGGAAAGTGGATGGGAAGGAAGGCTGGTGAGCCATTGCAATGGATTTACTGGGATGGTGGGGAGGAAGGGGACTCCTGGGAGCGAGCTGGCCCCTGGCTCTGTGCAGGAATCAGGGGGGATCAGCAGGAGCCAGCGAGGAGCTCGCCAAGCAAGGAATGTTGGAGGTGGGCGAGTGAGCAGGGCTGGTGGCTCGTGCCAGCCAGGTCCAGATGGCAGGGGACTGGGGGAGCCCCGGGCTTCGGAGAGCTGTGCCCTGCCAGGAAGCTCAGAGACACCTCCAGGCTTCCCAACAGCCCTGGAGCAAACCCAGGCCTTGCTTTGGGGTGGTTTTTGCTGCCCCGAGGATGCTCCCAGTTCCCAGAGCCCAAAGTCCTCCTGCTTGGGTGACCCTTTGCTGGAGATGCCCCACGGACACTCAGGGCTCTCCCTGGGCTTCCCAAACTGCTCCTAAACACCTCCAGCAAAGCTTCCTGCAGATCTCAGGGATCAGAGAGAGAGAAAGGACCCAAAATCAGGGCAGAGCTGAGCCCTGAAACCCCCCAAGGTGTCCATGTGTGACGCTGGGGGTACCTGGATCCCGCAGGGATTTGGGACCCGGATCCTGCAGGGATTTGGGACCTGGATCCTGCAGGGATTTCCTCCCTGTGTTTTCCTGACGACACATTTCACCCCGGGAAGGTTATCCCGCCTCCTTGCCAGCCAAGTGCCCCTTCTGGGAAGGGAAAAGCAGTGCCAGCACCTGCTCCCAGAGCTTGGCTTTAGCCATGGTCACGTTATCCCATTACCTCATGCGTGGTGTCACCTCCAGCACAGCCACACTCCTCCCATGGAATGTGCCATCCAAGAGGGTCACTTTAAACTGTCTTTTTTTTTAAATATAAAAAGGTTTCTATTTATCTCAGTATATATATAAAATAAAATATCCATCCAGAGGAAGAGGGGACATCAGACAGGAGCTTCACAACCACCCCTGCAGTGTCAGTGACACTCTCCTGAGGGTTTATGAACCTCACAATAATTGTTTTATTTTCTTATCTGGGGAGCTGAAATATCAGCACTATTTTAGGATCAGCTCTGAGGATGGATGGTTTTCAAGGGCTGCCTCTGACCCGTGGTGGTGGCAGAGGAACCTTCCCCTGGTGGTGTATAAAAGGTGGGACAGTTTTTCCCACCTCTGGGAGGAAAAGAGAGCTGCTTGTTTAAGCTGCTTATTCCCAGGGATGATCCAGGCTCCAGCTCAGAGACATTCCAAAGTCTGACATCCCAGACAAAATGTGGCCCAGCCAAATAAAACCAGAGTGACCAAGGCCTGGGGGTCCTTGGAGCAGCCAAGGAGAGGTGAAGAAGAGAGCAAGGACCCCCAGGTCCATCCCTTGGTTGTATCCCAAGATCCAGCAGATCCCCTCAGCAGCAGGTTGGGGTTGTGCTCAGCAGCCACAGGTGGAATATTTTGATCCTGTTCATCACCTCAGTCCCCAGGATGTCCTGAAGTGCCGAATTCCAGGTTCTCTGAGCACTTCAGGATTAGCTGTTGCCTTTGGTTTGCCCAAAACCCACTTTCTGGCCGCTGCACTGAGCTCTCCTCATCTCCCACGAGTGAGAAACAGGGAATGACGGGCTCCCACTTGCTGTTTCCTCACCCTGATAGTTTCCTGGATCTCTCCATCCCCCTCTTTTATTCCCAACCTGAACCTTCCAGCTCATTCCCTGACTCTTCCCTGAATCCCCGGCCGGGTTTGCTGCTCCCTTGCCCCTCTTTGCCAGCGCTCTGGGTGGGTTTGGCAGAGGCAGCAGCGAGTCCCCAACGTGAGGAAGCTCTGCCAGACACAGCTCCGAGTGCTTTGCCAAAGGTAAGGCAAAGGTGGGTCATCCCTGGAGCCGGGAATAACTCCAGAGCAGGGCCCCCCTTCACCTGCTGCTCCCGGTGGCCGTGGGTGTGGGCACCGGGGAACATCCCCAGCACATCTGGCCTTCCAGCAGGGGCTAAAACACCTGGAGGCAGGGAAAACACACAGCCAGGGAGGCCAGGGAGAGGTCCCCTCCTGCTTTTTCAGCTCCTTTGCATCCCACAGCTCTCTCTGTCGCTTCCTCATCACCCACCTTGAGCTGTGAACGGCGGGTTTGTGGCTCTAAGTGTTTTTATAGATGTTATTTTATAGTGGGGTTCAAACCCAGCAGCCAAAATTCCAGAGAAAACCTCCTCCTCCCCATCCAAACTGCCCGTGCTGGATGCTGGTGCTGATCCCGGGATCAGAGAGAGAGAAAGGACCCGAAATCCAGGATCAGCTCCCAGTCCACACTGGAAATTTGGAAACCTCCAAACAACCAAGCAGGGAAAGCAACACCCTCCAGCTTTGCTTCTTGCAGAGGCTTCACCCCCTGGCAGCCCTTGGGGGAGTCGGGGGGATGCTCAGGGGGTGTGGAATCACTGCCAGGATCCCTCCTAATCCCTGCTTGTGTTGAGCCCGCTCTTCGAACATCCCCCTTGGAGCCGGTGGGATTTGCATATGGATCTGCCTTCTCCCGGCCCAAATCCGTGCCTGGGTGGGAGCCATGAACTGGGATGACTGAATCCCGGCGAGGGCGGGAGCTGGACGAAGCCTTTGCCTTCTCTTTTTGGCCGCTCGCTCCCTCGCAGGAGGAGCCGGCATCCAAATCGCGGCTCCCGATCCCAGCGACCGCGAAATAAATGCCAGCAAGAAAGTCTTGCAAAAATCGGGCAGGGAAAGGAGGGGAGGGAAGGGGGGGGGTTGGAGAGGGAAAGAAACCCGGCACCTTTCACGCTTCCAGAAGGAACAAGAGCAACAAAAGGCATTCACGGGGAAAAAATAGCAGAGGGCGAATAAGAGCCTCGGGGAGATGTAAATCTGGGAGAACGGCAGCCCACGGTGGGAGGGGAGCCAAGGCTGCGGAGCGAGGGCCAGAGCCGGGGGGATGCAGGGCATTCCCTCCCCCCCTTTTCCCAAAAAAAAATAAAATATGTGGGAG